ATCAGTTCTTTTACAGGTGTTTGTTTAATAATCTGATGATGTCATGAGGAGACAAAAACAAAAATCTCAAATGATCAAATCGGACGTCGAAAATCAAACTACGTATTTCTTCTTCTTCTTAAAACTGCACTACAGAAAGTCGCTTTTTTAATTTGATTTTTTTTAAATTGGTTCATTATTTTAATAATTTAATTAGATCTTTTTTTTTTATTTTTTGTAATAGCATTCCCTCCTTTTTAAGGTTTAATGCGCTCTCTCTGAGCTTAATAAAATAATCCTAGTTTAGTCACGCTAGAAGTAGTCGATTTTGCATTTTTATTTGAGTGTCTCTCAAAAATAGGATCTTTCCTTATTAATTCACCCCAAAATAAAAATTTATTTACTAAAATTCACACCAAATTCTCCCAGATCGAGGTCCTCCCATTGTGCACTCTGGTTGGGTTGACCTTCAGCTCCAAATGTGGGCAACTCAGGTGCGCTATTTCTAAGTGCGGGTGTCTACGTCCGAGCTCATCCCAATAAACAAGTCAAAAAACGGATTTTTTTAATTGTAAAAAAATCCTTGTAAGTACCTCGAATATGATCCGTACTTACGAAATGTGAATAACTCCCTGATTTGGAGGTAATTTTCCCTTCTGAGGGTTGAAGTTGTTGCGAGGCAAGCTAAACAAATATTGATTTTTAAATTTTAAATTTTGCACTCTTTTGTTTGAAATTAATAAATAAAAAAAAACTTTGATTTAGAATTGATAATTTCTTGGGGTGAATTAATATTTGCGATAAGTTGAATTAAACAAAAAAGATCTATTTAAAAATAATTTCGTGCTGTGAAGAAATCGAAGGCTATCTTGTGTAATTGTTAAGCCACATGACTACACATTTTTGTGCTTCTACTTTTTATTTTATTTTTATATTTTTAGCAAATAGAATCCATACATGGCTATGGCTAAACGAATAAATTTATTTATTATAATTTTATTTTTTTTATACATAGTAGTTTTTATTTTACATGTTTTTTTTTTTTTTTTTTTTTTACACGTTAACAAAACAGCCAACTGACACTGACTAAAAAAGGTTGACAATGGCTTTTTTTTTACTATTTCGATTTTCCCATTCAGAAAGTTGTGACAGAAATTTGCTAAAAAAAAAAAAAAAAAAAAAAAAACACCAAACGTTCATTCAAACTCTGCAGAATTCAAGACTTACTACACATCATAAATCACCCTCCATTTGTTTAATATCGAAAATGACAAGAAAAGCAAAGGCGGGAAATTTGCTCAGTGACGGTAAAATGAATGTCAGTGATACAAATAAAGATAAAAAAATGTTGCCAATGTATCCGATAACTAACAAGTTTAAATGAAATCAATCCTCTTTTATTTTTTCTTCTATTTTTTTTTTTTTATTTTTTTTTTTAATGTCCTGCCCTTCAGGAAAAAGGTAATCATGACCCTCCATTTTTTTTTTTTAATTATCTGTGAATTGCCATGACACCTTGGTAAAGATAGTAGAGTGGCTTTCTGTTGCCTTTTCTAAAGTTTTCCAAATTCATAGTTTTCCACCCAAGACTAGAGAGCTTAGTCTACTCTGTTATTTAACCCCTAGCTGGGGGCTATGAAGAAGAGACAGATGTCTTTTTGTATGACAGTGAACACAAAAGATTAATCTGGCATTTGAATTCGGCTCTACACTTTCTGCTCCAATATACACGACACTAACAATACGTCGTAAGTTATATACTCACAGCTGGTTCTGGTCTTATTCCACCTCATCCTCTTTCAGAATTTGTTATGTTGCTATAACAGCGTTATTTGCTAAGCAAAGCTTAGTTTGAGCACAAGGCCACAATAATAGAGCACACAGTGGAGATCGAAGTTGTTGGAGTTAACTTCTCCTTAATTTCCTAATTGTTTACTAGAGGTCACTCTCCCTACACTATAAATACTGGGCAATTTCTTTCCGCGTTCTCTTTTTACTTTGCATTTTAGTGGACACATTTAAAAGATGTGATCTCTCACAGAGATTTGAGTTTTTGCCCACTTGTGGGAAAACACCATGAAACAAACACACACACACACATACGTACAAACATTCAATAAAATGCGAACTCTTTATGTTCACACACAAACATAAATGTTGATGTCTTTGTCCATTGTAAATTTTGTTGTTTAATACATATACTTGTTTGTGCGTGTGTCTATATATATATATATATATATATATATATATATATATATATATATATATATATATATATATATATATATATATATATGTGTGTGTGTGTTATCTCTATCTTTCTAATATATATATATATATATAAATAATTGTATATACTCTATCTTTGGATATAAGTAGTTGTGCATACATATATAAATATCTTATATATTTGGTCTAACCTATAAATAAACAGGCTCTAATTTGGGACCAGAAAATTTATCTTATATCCGGGTTTGGTCTATTTTATATAAATTAACAAAG